GATTTGTTTTTAAAATGAGCTACTGCTACATATAACAATTTCAAATCTTTATACTAAGGGAAAGGAACCAGACTCAACGCATACATATATATTACCATATATTAAAAATCCCAAAAAATAATGTTCTGGTAATAAATGGAATCAATAATGAAACCAAAAGACCTCTGATGAGCTGGAGCTGGAGAAAGGATACAGACGCGACAGGAAGGGACAATGATGGGGTGACAGAATGTTCTATCTTGATTGTGGAGCTGGTTACAGAAGAGTAGATGTCTGTCAAAACTTGTCAAACTGTGCAGTAAAATGGGTACGTGCTATTCTGTGTAAGTTATTACTCAAAAAATCTGCAACCTAGGCTTACCTCAGATCTGTCCTTGATTAGATTAAGTGAGCATTCCCGAGACTCTACAAACATAAAGAACAATAATAAAAATGCTCACTCATGGCAGGAGTGCATCTACAAGGGTGCCCTCGTCTGTGTGGATGGAAGGGAAATTCTAATTACTTTTTACCACATCATTAATGTAGTCCTAAAAGTAATAAAATAATTGGTTGACAAAATTTTGCATTTAGCAATTATTCTGATAATATGCTAAAATAATCTAAACATAGGATTCTTATGAAATTTGTTATAATTAAGGAAAAGTGGGGAAAAAATCTAAAATTATTCATTAGAGGCTAAACAAAAAAGGTATCCAAGTAGATTTAAATTTAAAATAGCATGTGACAAACTGTCTACTTCAATGTGTTTTCTTAATTTCATATTTATGCATTGTTCAATATTACATGTAATATATATGGGAAGAGGGAAAATATATATTGCAAAAGGGAAAATACAGAATATATTCCAAAATATTAGTATTTGTGACCTTTTATAAAGTTCTTTTCCTTGTTTTTTGCCCTGTATCTCTGCTTTTCTTTATCAAATGTCTCAGAAATATGTAATTTCCCTATACATGCTTTTAATTACTTTATGTGATAGAAATTAAAAGAAACTGGCCTAGATGAGATTTTTTTTAATTAGATTCCAATTGATTTTTCTTCCAGTCCTGTTTTAAACTGTTGTCTGACTCAGATACTTTCTCCTGTCCCTGAGGGCTTCGTCCTCACTAATAGTATCCCAGATTTGATACTTTTTTTTTCTCCAAGTCCATTCCACAGATGATTCATTAGTTACTTTTAAACCCAGGTGACCAAGGACTCTGTTTATTAACTAGTTGCAAAACTGGCAAATAAAACAAACCTCAAGCTTGAAATTGAAACAAACCTCTCTGAGCAAACAAGTTTGGAGCTTTGATTCTTTCAAAGCTACCAGGCGCTCCTTTTACTGGTATTACGCTCCAGTAATAGAGCATATAAAAGAAAGTTACCTGGGCTTATGACAGCACAAGTTTGTGCAATTACCTGAGGGTAGAATCCTCAGTCTCTGCAAACTTCTATACCAGTGGGCACAGGTTCAGGTGGAAGTCTAAACATTGCTTTCATTTTCACCTGTGTAGCCATAAGAACAATTGTTTCTGAACAACTCATCGAGGGAGTTTGACATTAACTGCCAAAAGTGTAAGTAAAATAAATTCTGAAATTTCAATTATATAACTCTTTTATGACATTGAGTCATATATGTCTCTTAGGCAATGGATTTTTCCTGCTTGCATAAAACCAATAATTGTAAATTTCCAAAGGGATATTATAGAAATGCCATTTTTAGAATGCATTAAATTGGATAGTTTGTGTTCATTGATGTGATCATTTTTGTGCAACAATACATAGGAAGCCTTTAAAGAAGTATAACTTGAGGACCATGAAGACATAATAACACCACCTCAACCCACCCCCCAAAAAACCGACAACTTAAGCAACACTGCATCAGCTCACAAGAACTTAAATCTTAAAAATTTTTAAATAAAATATAAGCAGGCATCAGTCAATGATATTGAGGTCAGTTCACTATTCAATATCTATAATATCAGAGTTCTCACAGAAGTACAGCTGTAATGATTCTGTATCTGAATGCTCCTCAGTGAGCAGGGCTACAGTAGTTACCACAGAGAAGCAATGCTCTCTCTCTACCCAGGGAGAAAAGCAGACTAGAGGGGAGAGCCAGCTGCAGAAATGCATGCTCTGCTCTCAAAGTGACCTGGTGGAAGTACAGGTGGGCACCTACATGGCATGGGGGCGTCCTAGTCCTCAGGTAACCACGGGCAAGTCCTTGCACCTCCTGTGTGACAGTGACCCTAACTCCTGGACTTACCTCTGCAACTTACACACATGGTTAGAGCAGGCACAGGCCCCCGCTCAAGAGGGAAGGAATGTCCTAAAGTAACATCAGGACACTGAAGCCCTTCACATAACACAAATATTGAAGCCTCCAGGAAATCCTGCAGGGAATTTACTCTTGGAAAGTACTGATTCAGTTTTTTTTTAACATTTTGAAAAGTTGGTGCAGTGCTTTATGAGCATTAGTGGAGAAACAGAAGGTACAGAAAATAGCACCACAAATATAGAATGTGGAACTCCCTGGCTTCTGATTTTGCTACTCTGTGGAATGATGCACCAGTGTAGGAAAGCAATGTCAGCAACCAAGCTCTCATTCATCCAAAGGCAGTTAAGACAGGAGAAGAAACAGTGTTTTCAGGAGTGAAGGTAACAGCAGTGAGCAGAGGGTGCTTTTTCATAAAAAAAAAAAAAAAAAAAATGTGCTCCATCTACTAGCCTGTACACCCAAACGGGGAAAAATTAGAATACAGCAAATTAAATAAGAAATGCAAAATTCTATAAATTTTTAGATTCATCTTAAATTAAAAAAATCCAGCTTCATCTACAATTTTTTACTTAAATCTTTGTTATTAAGTTCAGGGGCACTGAAAATTAATATATGGCACTGTGTGACACAGTTTTCATTAAAAACATCACTTTGGTTTGTAAAAAAAATGTACATTTTCCATGTTAAAATTGGGATAAGAATTGCTTGCTCCGATTAGTACCCCATCAAGTATCTGAGTTTTCTATGTCCTCAGAACAGATGGAACTGTAGTTTGTTGCACAGAGATATGAAAAGAAAGAGTACCAGATAAAAACTGAGCCCAGAGAGATCATTCATGCAAAGTGATAAACTCAATACCTGGTCAAACTTACCTTTTGAAGATACAAGTCTTTTGGAAAGAAAGACAGGTAAGTGTGGTCACTTCTGTGTTTCTGGTATATGATAGCACTTCAAAACATTCATGGAAAATGAAATAAAAATGTTTCTTTTGATACAAAAACTTTTTTTGAAACACATCATTTTTTATAATACATGTTTTACAGACATTTAAAATATCTTTAATATTTAGCCATATTCTGAAAACCAATATTTGTGGATCTGAAGCTTTAAGTCAAGATACTATCTACTAAGAATACACTTGTTAAATTATGGAATATTCAGTCTAACACTCTCCCAACCGAGCTATTTTCACTTTGTGTTTCTATGTGGGTGCAAACTGTTGAAATCTTTACTTAATATATGCTAAACTGACCTTCTGTATATAAAGAGAATTGAAAATGATTCTTGATGTGAATGGAAGGGGAGAGGGAGTGGGAAAGGGGAGGGTTGCAGGTGGGAGGGAAGTTATGTGGGGGAAGCCGTTGTAATCCATAAACTGTACTTTGGAAATTTATATTTAGTAAATAAAAGTTAAAAAAAACTTTAAAAAAAGTTATGGAATCTAAGAGAAGAAACTGAGAAGTTTATGCACAATAGAGACCAATATGAAAAAAAAAATACCCAGAAATTAGAAATAAAAAGGTAAGAGGAAAAATGTATGTGATGTTCAGTTATCAGAGAATGTAATAAACAGTATATGGTCAAAAGTAAACAGTCCACATAGAAATACTTTTAATTTTCAGAAAAACGGAATTTAAAAAATTAAAGAAGACCTTTGGTAAACTTCAGCCAAAATGTTTCATTAAAGTGGTTTGGGCAAAAAATCTAATTACAATAGGGTATAGAAAGAATGGATTGTGACAAAAGAAAGAAAAGCCATTGTGGACCAAGGTTTTCAAATGCTGAGACTATGTGTATTATTTATTTGGAGCTAGGCACTGTTCCAAACAATTTTAGATATAGAGAAAGAAATATAGATATATAGACATCCACATGTAGAGTTTAATTTTTTAAAAGTAGAATATAAAGGACACAGATTTGGGGTTTTTTTCCCATTTTTAAATGACAAAATTGAATCTCAGTGAAAGCAGACAGTAATTGAAAGTGTGATTGCATTTGCAACCTTATTCTTTTGTATGTAACTGGCATTGGTACTGAGAAGTTAGAATGTGTTACTACCTCAGTTATATAGATTGAAAGGAAACAACTGTGACAATGTCACTCAAGCCTATGAATGTCTCAGCAAACACATTGTAACATTCTAAATAATGTTCTCATCCAAACAGTTTTTTCTGCAAACTAGGCGCTGCCTACAAATTTTAGACAGAAAGAAGAAGCAGGGTGAAGGTGAAAGGACATGAGAAAGTTTATAATAAAGCGTAAGTTTAAAAACGAGTGTTAATGCTACAACTCAAAATCTTAAGCAATGGATATCAAAAGCTTGTTAGAGTAAACTTGCACTATTGGTGTTACTTTCACAGTTTATCAATAACCAAATTCAATCAGTTGAAGATGTGGCTGTAGAACTTAGGAAACAAAAAAATGATAATACAATCCCATCTGCAAATAAACTGATACAAAATGGGAATTTAAAACATTGAAAAAAGGACTTTTAATATGTTGGGGTAGAGTATACATTAAGTATTCTGATTTTCAAATATCCCCTAAATTATCCCACAAAAAGTCACAGTGAAAACTGTGCTACTATTGTGATGGTATTATTTATAAAATAACACATATTGTGTGTCCTACAGTTGGCACAGTTTGATGAGCAATTAATTATTGCTGGCTGATGTTAACACCAAGCCCCTCATAGCAAATATCTGAATTGCATATGCGGATTGGGTAGGAGTCAGTTATGAGAAACCACACAGTCACAACGTTTGTCTTGCTGGGGCTGACGGATGACCCCCAGCTGCAGGCTGTGACTTTCATCTTTCTGTTTCTCACCTACGTGTTGAGTGTAACTGGCAACCTGACCATCATCTTCCTCACCTCCATACATTCACACCTGAAAACGGCCATGTACTTTTTCCTACAAAACTTCTCCTTCCTAGAAATCTCATTTACAACGGCTTGTATTCCCAGATACTTGTACAACATATCAACCGGTGACAGAACAATCACATACAACAACTGTGTCATTCAAATGTTTTTTATCGATCTCCTTGGTGTCACAGAATTTTTCCTCCTGGCCATCATGTCCTACGACCGCTATGTGGCCATCTGCAAGCCCCTGCATTACGTGACCATCATGAGCAGCCAGGTCTGCAGGAGACTCGTCCTCTGCTGCTGGGTAGCCGGCTTCTTGGTCATCCTCCCACCCCTGAGCTTGGGCCTACGTCTAAAGTTCTGTGACTCTAACATCGTTGACCATTTCATCTGCGATGTGTCTCCCCTCCTGAAGATCACGTGCACAGATACACGGTTGATAGAGCAGATGGTCATGGTCAGTGCTGTGCTGACCTTCATCATGACCCTGGTCTGTGTGGGTCTATCCTACATATACATCATCAAGACCATTCTACGATTCCCCTCAGCCCAGCAAAGGAAGAAGGCCTTTTCCACCTGCTCCTCCCACATGATTGTGGTCTCCATCACCTACGGCAGCTGCATCTTCATCTATGTGAAGCCCTCAGCAAAGCAGTCAGTGGCCACTAACAAGGGTGTGATTGTGCTCACCACCTCCATCGCACCTATGCTGAACCCCTTCATCTACACCCTGAGGAACAAGCAAGTGAAACAAGCCTTCAATGACTCAGCCAAAAGAATTGCTTTGTTCTTAAAGAAGTAAGAGAATATACAGGCACAATTGTTTTTTCCCAACATTTTCCATCCACAGTTGGTTGAATCCAAAACTCTGGAACCCATGGATGTAGTAGGATGACTTCCTTTGTTATATATTGTAAACCAAGGAAGAAGAATGGCTTTGAGACACTGGCTTGGTCTGAAAGGTAAGATTTAAATCCTGAAGTCATAATGTTGTTGTTGGTGTTTATCTTTACACTATAGCAACAACAAACAGAGCAGTTACTCTTCAGAAAATCACTAGAGCCCTATTGTTTTGCATTCTACAAAAATAATTTTAAAAATTGGCACACCCTCAGATCCCAAAATGGTGGACACTGGATTACATGTATACATTGTGCAAGGTTCAGTCAGGAGTGTATATTTAGACTTTCAACCATTTATCATTTCATTATATAGTGAAAACATCCAAAATTCTAACTTCTAGTTTTCTTATATAGAAATATATACTAAATTAACCCTATATGTTGTCATCATGTAAAAGTACATATATGGCATGCCATTTAACATAAGCATTCATAGAAATAAATAATTTAAATATTTGTTGTATTGAAAACAGTTTATATTCAATATCATTCTTCTAAAATGAAAACATATCTTATCATAAACAATGAGGGGCCAAAATTTTAAACAAAAAATAAATGAGGTCAATACATTAAGTACATTCTGTTTAGGAAGTAATTAAAATTGAAATTGCCTATGAAATCCAATACAGAACTGAATATGTGAATATAACAAATGTTGAGGTTCCTAAGAAAGGCCAATGGAATCAGGGAAATGAGCTTAAGAAGCCACTGGCCACGAGCAATGACCTTCAGTGGAAGCAGAACTCTGTCAAGTATAGGACCCCGAAGTCACAGATGTCCCTTCCATCCAGGCTTGGTGACATGCTCCATTCCATCAGCTGCTTAAGGTTAGTCCATGACCAGGATGGTTACAAAACAAAGAAGGTATTTTCTGAGGTGTAAAAACTTACACTTCTTTGTTGTATATAACTCCAAAAGGGGAAGAGAGTAGCCTGGGACACTATTGGTGGAAACACACATTGGTACAGACTTTATGGAAAGCAGTGTGGGGACCAGCACTGTTGTGTAGCAGGTAAAGCCACCAACTGCAGTGCATAGCATCCCATATGGGCACTGGTTGAGTCCCTGTATCTTATCAGGAGCACTACATGTGCTAATATGTGAAATGCTTAGAAAAGTACTCACTCAAGATTTTTTTTTAATTTTTAAATAATCAAGATAGGCATGAACTAAAAGAGAAAGTCTTCCAAACTTCGTATGACTCCAGGAATAAGTTAATAGACACTAAAAGGCCTGTTCTCCCCTTCATTGTTGGATTGGGGATTATTATCATCCCCCAAAGATGGGGCAGTTGTCCAACATGTTGGAGAGAGCAATGGTGAAACTGATAGGAACCAGGATCCGAGGAGCTGGTTTTCCTAGATTCAAGAGGAGAACAACAGGCAGGCACTGTGGCCCAGTAGGTTAATGCTAAGCCTGCAGTGCTGGTATCCTATATGGTTGCTAGTTCTAGTCTTGGCTGCTCCACTTCTGATCCAGCTCTCTGCTATGGCCTGCGAAAGCAGCAGAAGATGGCACAAGTTCTTGAGCCCCTGCACCCATGTAGGAGACCTGGAAGAAGCTCCTGGCTCCTGGCTTCAGATGGGCTCAGCTCCGGCTGTTGTAGCCATTTGAGGAGTGAACTAGTGAATAGAAGACAGACCTCTCTCTCCCTCCCACTCCTTCACTCTCTCTCTCGCTCTCGCTCTCTCTCTCTGCCTCTGCCTCTCTCTCTCGCTCTGCCTCTGCCTCTCTGTAACTCTGCCTTTCAAATAAACTTAAAATCTTAAAAAAATTAAAATAAAACAATGTGGTGGTTCCTAAAAGCAATTAAAAATAGAATCCTAAGGGCCAGTACTGTGGCAGAGCAGGCTAAGCCACTTCTAGCAACAGTGGCATGCCATATTGGAGTGCCTGTTCAAGTCCCAGCTGTTCTGCTCAGATCCGTCTTCCTACTGATGCACCTAGGAAGGCACTGGGTAATGGAACAAGTACTTTGGCCCCGCCACCCACATGAGAGAACAAGGCGGAGTTCCTGGCTCCTGTCTGCAACCTGGCTCTGGTCGGGCTGTTGTGGTCATCCAGGAGCTCTTTCTGTCTCTCCCTCTCTGTCAATCTGCCTTCCAAGTAAATAATAAAAATACAACTTCCAAAAAATCTTAAGTGCAACTACTAGTTAATATTATTTTGAAGCTGCTGGCTTACTCTATCATTTTCCAACAAAGTCTATGTTTTCATTTGAACATCATTAATTTTTATTTTTCACAGGAGTTTTATCCTAAATGATTATTGTAATTTCTTACATAAATGTTTGTAGTGATTTCTACACTACACTGATGATGGCCATCCATGCCACAGATGCATTCCCTTATCCATTTGAACAAGATGAATTATTTAGTAATTAAAATATCAAATAGTTCAATTTATTTTTTATTTTATTTTTTTTTTATTTTTGACAGACAGAGGGGACAGTGAGAGAAAGAGAGACAGAGAGAAAGGTCTTCCTTTGCTGTTGGTTCACCCTCCAATGGCCGCCGCAGCCGGCACGCAGTGGCCGGCACATCGCGCTGATCCGAAGCCAGGAGCCAGGTGCTTCTCCTGGTCTCCCATGTGGTACAGGGCCCAAGGACTTGGGCCATCCTCCACTGCACTCTTGGGCCATAGCCGAGGGCTGGCCTGGAAGAGGGGCAACCGGGACAGAATCCAGCGCCCTGACCAGGACTAGAACCCGGTGTGCCGGCGCTGCAAGGTGGAGGATTAGCCTATTGAGCCGCGGCACCGGCCTCACATAGTTCAATTTAGATTGATCACTCTGGCTTTATTTGATCAGTGAGCTAATTGAAAGGTTGCCATCTACCCAGTGAATTTTAAACGAGACCGCACTGTGACCCAGCAGATTAAGTCACAGCCTGCAGCACTGGCATCCCATATGGGCACTGGTTTGAGTCCTGGATTTTCCACTTCCAATCCAGCTCCTGCTAATGCACCTGGGAGATCACTGAAGATGACCCAAGACCCTGGACTCCTGCCTCCCACCCAGGAGACGCAGATCAATTTCCTGGCTCCTGGCATTTTCCCGGCCCAGCCCCTGATGTCCTGGCAATTTGGAGAGTGAATCTGCAAACTGAAGATCTCTCTCTCTCATTTTCACTCTTGGTAACTCTACCTCTCAAATAAATGAATAAACTTTTAAAAGCAAATAAATAAATAATAAAAACAAGGAAAAAAAGAAAAGCATGGGAAAGTCAGCAAAGTGTAGATTTAAAAAAAAAAAGAGAGAGAGAGACAGCACTGACACACTATAAGCAAAGGAGAAAACAATATTGTGGAATTGAAAATCTAGCCATCTTGAATGGGAAAGAAATAAGGGCCTCTTGTTAAGGCTAGTCTTGGTGTCAGGCCAGTGGTGGGGCTGACCTTGTTCTTCCCATGTGTGCCCCCTTAAATCTACCTGATGACACATTGAACAAATCACAATTTTATATGTAATTTTATATATATGTATATAATTACACAGAAAAAAATACCCTTTTTGATAATTCAAAAATGCATTGGTCAATTGAAGAGGTTCATTTACTGCCTCCATTGAAAAATAAAAATTCCATCAGATAAAATATTTATAGCTAGAATAGTAACTATTGCAAACTCTGTAAGCTGTTCCCAACTACTCAACCAGACTCAGGGAAAAATAAACTCTACCTACCAGCTGCTATACTTTTTGACTATGTCTAACTAAGACAGTGTTAGACATGTGCAGTATGCTGAACAACACCTCCCAGAAATATCCTGAGCCCTGAAATCTATGCATATTCATGTGCTACCTCACTGGGGAAAAGAAGCATGGCAAGTCTGATAAATTCATGGTTCTGAAAATGAGAAGACGATCATGGATTATTCAGGGGAGCTCATGTAGTCATATGGTACTACTGAGAGGAGGCAAGAGAATCAAAACAATAGTACATAGTCCGGGGAGGGCGGCGGCACTGTGGCACAGTAGGTTAATCCTCCACCTGCAGTGTCAACATCCCGTATGGACACTGGTTCTAGTCCCGGTTGCTCCACTTCCAATCCACTTCCCTGTAATGCATCTGGAAAGCAGTGGAAGATAGCCCAAGTGCTTGGGCCACCGCGCCCGCATGGGAGACCCAGAAGAAGCTCCTGGCTCCTGGCTTCGGATCAGTTCAGCTCCGGCCATTGCGGCCATCTGGGCAGAGAACCAGCAGATGGGAGACCTCTCTCTCTGTCTATCCCTCTCACTTTCTGTAACTCTACCTCTCAAATAAATAAAATCCTTTTTTAAAAAAAAGTATATAATGGGGCTGATAGAAGGAATTCATACAGACCATAGATGCTAAAAGACAAAAAAGGAAAGAAAAAGCAGTTTCACTCTTGTCAACAACTTCATTTTAGATTTCTGATATTCAGGGTTCAAAGAGGAAAATTTTGTGATGTTTCAGACACTATCTTTGTGAATATTGGCTGCAGCATGATGGGAACCTAAACATGAAGAGAAAGAAGCATTTCTGCCAAAATTTTTGTGAAAACAGGTACATGCTGAATTCAAGTATAATACCTGATGTGAATACCCCAGTGCTACAACACCTCAGAGGAAACCCCTTCAATGCTTTCCACACAATTACCATTTTTAGAATCTATGTAATCAGACCCATGACAAAAATCTTCAGTACATTTTATAGGAGTAGTTTGAATGGTACATAAAAATGTTATTGAACTAGGGACAGTGTGTGGCATAGCAGATCAAGCCACTGCTGGTGAACACGGGATGTAGTCCTGACTGCTCTTCTCCTGACTCAGCTCCCCGATATTGTGTCTGAGAAGACAAAAAAAGGCAGCCCAAATATCTGAGCCTCTGATACCCACATGAAAGACCCCAACAGAGCTCCAGACTCCTGGCTCCAGC